AAGTAGCAATACATGCAGGAGTGAACCTTGGCTGAGAGAATAGGTTTGACTTGGTAGGTTCAGGGAGGGGATATAGAGATCCATTCAGATCTGAATCCGTTCAGTGACCGCGTTGACTAGCTCAGATGGACTTGGGCAAAATATGGAGTTCCAAGGGACGCCGCAAAAGAGCGAGATTTAGTCAGTGGAGAGGTGCAGCTAACCTTAACTTTAATTTTGTTGTGATCTGAAGTTGCCAGAGGAGCCAGTCAGTAACATGATCCAGAATTTCGTCAGGAGCTGAGATGATTTGAGTAAGGTCAGAGACACAGCAAAGTTGAAAGCATGGACACCAAGAGCATCTGTGCTGTGAGAATGTACCAGCTTTCTCTTATGGTGAATATTAAAATCACCAGAGACCATCAACTCAGCAGAAGGATGTTGAGAGAATGCAGAGTTGATGCTGTTGGAAATTGCAACAAATATGACACAGTTCTGATCATAGGGAATGGTACAAACAGTAGAGATATATGGTGGAATGGAGAAGAGCAAGGCGAAAACACATACATGTACCATCACGTGTCACGTCCTCAAGGACAAGTAGAAACCTGAACTGTAGATGCAGAAGGATTGCATTGCTGCCAACTCCAATCGTACCATTTCGCCCACCAGACTTTTCATAAAATTCCTTTGTCAGCCTTATCCTTAAGTTTAGGTTCCCAAAAGTCAAGCCGGCTGCTGAGGAGCTGTATTATTGGCAGTGGGTTTATTTTCTTAAAAACTTCAATTCCTACTCCTCTATAGTCCCTCAACCTGATTTACCAAATGTTTGTCTGCCATTTTGGCCACTGGAAGCTGTGCTGGGAATGAGGTTGGCTCTGATAGTCATCTCTTTCTGTTTAGATTTAAATTTCTTAGATTCAGATGCTGGCTGGCCCTTGCCTGTTGCTTGACTAAACAAAATGCTTTCAAGAAATTCTCAAAGCCAATGACTCGACTCGAGTCCGTCTCGAGTCACAATTTTTGGTGGGTCGACTCAACTGAACTCTCAACTGGTAATTGATTTGACTCAACTCAAGTCACTATGAGCTAATGACTCGACTCGACTTAAGTTCCTCATTAGAAGAAACACATTAGCTCGAGTCAAAGGCTAATGACAGGCGAGTCCCAAAACTGCAAAAATACAGTACAAAGTTCTTAATGTTCGCACTCGTATTTTCGCGTTACCATCAAGTTGTGGCTGTTTATTGTGTACAAATATATGCCGCATCACAGACTCTTTAGCCCCACATTATGGTTTTATAATGTAGCGCACAAACCACTTCCTAGAACAAGACTTTAAATGCATTTCCAAAATTGTTGGTTTCATCATTGGCTTCAGGCGATTTTTTTAAGCCCTTGGTGGAACTCGAGCTAAATTTAAGTCCTGATTTGAAACAAAAATTAGATGTTTTCTTTACAGGTCAGACCAACAACAAAAAACACGAAAGAGCATACTTCCCCAACCTTGAGACTCAAACCAGCTGTACTAATAGATGGAGAATCTTTTTAGAAGAAATATGATCCAAGATGTCCCGATTTGGTGCAGTGGTTTTTGCTGAAGCACACGTCTTTCGTGTGGGTTTTATTGCATAACAATTAGTCCCTCTATCAAATTAAGATTCGCAGGTGCGGTTTAGTAATTCATTTGGACGAAAGGACTACCGACTTTGTCTCACTAAATAGACTCTAGAATAAAAACAACTGGACCAAGTTGGGCAATCTTGGTATCATTTTTCTTTTAACACAATTCCCCATGAATTGGTTTAGGTTGTTTTAGTCTCAGGACAGCAGAAGTACACTTTTTGGGAGTGGGGGCACCCTGTGTAATCTGGAACAGTTTTGTATGTGGCATTTTGGCTCTGACGTTATCTGCGTAAAAATGATTTCAGACCAGAAGCCAAACCAGAGACAACACCAAATTTTCATTTCTTGTTACATGTATTAAACTTTATGTAGATCTTTGGTAGAAATGTCCAGCAGAAACTTGTCTATCGGGTACCAGTCAGTTGCATTTTGGCAAATGTCTTCTTAAAGTACATTACCTGCACCCTCATGTATTCAGTCATGGATGACTATTCACCACTTTGAAGGAAAAACAAACAAACAAACAATCCCACTTAAAAAATTCTTTTAGATAATTACGTTCCTGTGTGCTGTGTATTGGAATAGGAGGTAGACATTGGAGTTGATGCAATAATGGTCATGCAAACAAACTTTTTTTGATTAATCATCGAAAACAAATTTTGGGTCATGCTAAAAAAGGTTTTCAGTCGCCAAAATGCATTGAAAAAGAAAAGCATGTTAGGCCAATGTGGTGAGAAAATGTTAATACTTATGACTTGAAGTGTTTTACTGCATTTTGGCATTGAATATGTGCAATATACATGTAACTCTTTAATTGGGAATGATTTACATAATTTTTTAACAGAAATTTCTACCTCTTTTAACACACAGCGACAATAAGGTCAAAAAATAAAGTCTCTGGTTTCTGGTGGGAGCTTGCCCCTAAAGTGGTGCGGCGACACATTTGTTTTTTCTCCTACTTTTTTTTTTCTTCAAATGTCAGCTGATGTTGCAGATGATGCTTCAATCCCCTTAAAACTCTCAAAAAATATCCTTTAGGGTGGAGCATGTAAAGAGATGACCCCAGTGAGGATTAAGAATTCTGCACCCACTTACAATCTCGACCGACACGAACATTCTTCGGGAAATTTGAATATTCAAGACAAAAATCAGAGAAAACGGTAACGTCAGACCACACAGCGACATCGTCATCGTGCCAGCCTTGACTCCATGGGCGCATGCGCATTCCTTACACTAACCCCTGGCCGTGATGAACACGTAAACGACGCTGATCAGCTATCAGAGCTTACTGCGTGCACATTTTGAAGACTGCACGCCCTATATTGCGCTCGCAATCATATACAGTCGAGTCTCGTTATAACAAACTCGTTCGGACCTAGCCAAATTGTTTGTTATATCAGAATTTTGTATTAAGAGGAACATCAGTCCCATTCATTGTGCACATAAATGCTCAATCGGGACCAAGGCTTTATGTTTGTTATAACCAGAATTTTGTATTAACAGAGTTTGTACTAACGAGAGTCGACTGCATTGCGATTTGCACATCACGTCACGTACAAACTTTTTTTTCCCAAAACTGCGCCAAGCCTGAACGATGTGGATTATTGGCAGCCTTGTTTTTTGCCCCCCAAAACATGTATCTCCAGTTGTAAAGGGACAAAAGAGGTACGTTCATTTAATACAAATCCTTGCTAAATAATGCTACGTGAAAACCTTATGGTATATACCTAAACTTAGATGTGTTCTAGATGAAAATTGATGATGTTGTCACATGACGTGACGTCACATTGAAGGTGCAGTTTGCTAAGGCCTATATGTCTACAGAACTATAAGAGTTCTGATCAATCTACTGCAGATGATTGTCCTATGAGTCTATTACATGACATAATAAAATACAATAACAGTTAACCGAAACAGCCATGTTTGTGCACAAACATACATTTTTTTCTTTCTTTCTTTTTCAGCCATTTCCCCATTGCATTTGTACACATTTTCATTGTGGAAGGCACTTTGCCATCAATCCGATTACCTTTATACTCAGCACACACTTAGACCAGCATCTGAAGATGTGTGCCAAATGTTTACGTTATCATGACGTCATCACGAGTCACATGCCGTCACATTTAATGTGCATATTTTAAAGGCCTATATCTCCAGATCTACAGGTCCGATTGGGTTGAAAATTGGTAAGCACCTAGACCAGGATGTGTTATAGATGAATAGGAAGTGATGTTACAATGATGTCATCATGGGTCACGTGACGTCACGTTAACGATTAATAGATTTAATCTTTGAAAATCAATATAAAATCAACCGTGAGACCTAAACAGGACTTGGAAAGAATTGCATACACGGACATGCCTTGTAGTTTAAAATTGGTAAAAGATGTGAACTTGCTTTTAATCATGTATGCTTTGGCTAAGTTGTTCTTTACAAAGAAATTAACGGTGATGCCATAAAATGTGAGAGCACCCTTTAGCAGCAGGTTGAAATTTTTTTTAATGAATAATCTGTTGATGAGTGTAGCGAAGTTTGCTGAAATAATTTTTTATAATTGATATATACAACCAACTTCATGCTAACAACAAGTTGAAGGAGGGGGGGGGGGAGTTGGTGACATCACCAGACCGGAAGTTAAATGAAAATCTTTACATGAAACGTGATGTCACATTAAAGGTGCATTTTTATAAGACTACATCTATGGAACTATGGGCACTGATCACTTTGCAACTTTCTACTGCACATCTATGTCCCATCAGTCTATAACATGACATAAAAATACAACAAATTGCCGAAACAGCCCTGTGTTTGTCCACAAACATAAATCTAGTTTAGGCCAAAAAAAAAAAATATTCGGTCTCTGGTCAGACCAAAGTTCCGGAATTGACGTGGGGACGCGTCTTTTTTTTTTTTTTCTTCAAGCTTGGATTGTACAGACAAGGTGGGCTACTATTTTGCTACTTGGTGTCCTCATGTACATTGGTGTCCTCCATAATTTGCCTTGGTGCTCTCGATTATTTGCCTTGGTGCAATTTCCCATTCCTTGGTGCTCTTTGGTAACAAAAATTGAGGTGCGGCAATAGAGGGCGCTGTTGGAGCTACCGCGGAACATTTTGGAAAAAAAAAAAGATTGACGCGCATGATTAAAATCAATGCACGCGCTGACCAGAGACCGACTTTTTTTTTTTTTGGCCTTATCCTTACATTTATATAAAAAGGGAGAAATATTCAACTGACTAATTTTCATAATTTGTTATCATTTCGTTCACTGCAATACTTTCCGGCATTATTTTTGTGTGGTTTTTTTTTCTATTTGGGGGCAGAGTTACGGTATTCTCCAAAGACATGTTTTGATTTATGACAAATTTTTGTATTTTACATTTCGTTTACTAAAGGTTAGAGCTGAGTGTCATGTTGATGAATAGCTGTTTATTTGAATCAGCTGACTCCACTAGTGAAGATCAACCAGATATATCTCAACTTGATTACCAAACAGTGAGTACTAAGTTTATTTAAAGGGCTCATGCAATGTCATTCTTTTTATGCTATCCTTAGAAATGCATCCTTGGGTCTCGTAGGCTTGTGCATAGTACAGGAACCGGGTACCCGATGGAAAAAATATGGTTACCTGGGTCCCGTAAAAGAAACCTAACCCTAAAATTCACATCTCGGAAGTTGCGGTTTTGAGTGTTCACCGGTGCTTCGACAGCAAGATACCAGTCCGTACCTAGACGTGCAAAAGTATTACGCACCAGCTGTACGATTTTGAACTTCAAATTTCACTTCGAAATATCATGGATGGTCGATAAATTTCCAAACCTGTGTGGTGTCATTATTTAGTCAGTAATTTTCGGCATTTGAAACCAATGTGGGAAAGGCGCGCTGTTTTTTCTGGCTTTTTCGAAAAACATTTTGCAACAAGTATGCAAACTTTGAGATGAGCTAGAAACCAAAAAAAAAAAATTATACCCCCACTTTTTGGATATTTTGTAGAAAACATATTGAGGTGTAATTCTCATCCAAATTAGTCTCAAGGTCACGTGATCCACAAGGTCAAATTCAAGGTCAAATTCAAGGTCAAAAGGTCATCATACTTCAAATTACTCTGGCATGAAAAATGATACTCAAATTGGGAACTCTTACGATGTTACCTTTCCAAAGAAACCAAGATAAACAAATTTGGCCCACAGATTATGGAGATATGGTCATTTGATAATTGGCCGCCACGTCCATTTTGACCAAAATTGCCCAACAATGATGAACGGTAGTGCAAAAACCGTTTGTCCGACGGTGCTAAAACTTAAGATTTCAGCTTTTTCAGCCAAAATTACCCCATACACTTAATATGACCCAATTTGGAGGGGATGGGGTTTAAACTTTCCATTTTTTGGGGTGATTTGACACGGAATGACCCGTAAGTGAAGTTTATGAGAAATATGAGACCCATTATGTAGCACCTTATAAGGGTATACAAGGTGCTGCGGTGCTTATTGCAGCCACTGCCAGAAACACTGGGGCAAACCCCTTCTCTTAGTGATAAGTGTTACTGGGTTCTTTAGCGTGCAACACACGGGACCTCCGACCTACAGCTTAACATCCCATCCAAAGGAGGAAGCAATAATGGTAAAGTGCCTTGCTCAAGAGAACAAGCACCATGTTCCCACGGTCAGGATTTGAACCCATGTACCACGGCACACGAGTCGAACACCGTAACCATTGGACCACAGCACCCCATAAATCCATCTTGGATTTTACAAGGACGACACTAGTGACTTCAAATTAATTGTCATTCTGGACTCATGAACGCTAATTGTTTGATAAAACATGAATTGTATGAATAAAATAAAACCACCCGAGACACAGATATGAATTTTATTGAAATATTTTATTGGTTTACATGCCAAAAAAAAAGAAAAATCAATTTGTTGGTAATTTGTACAGTTGGTTACATGTACCCGATTCTATAATCTGGACCCGGTTCCTGACATCCACACTCGGGTACCCGAGTGTTGATGTCAGGAACCGGAACAGTTTGGATGACTATTGCACTTAGGCCTTCATGTGTACATGGAATGGAATGTATGTGTACAGCCCAATAGGCTGCAGTTCACAGAGTTTATTAGAATCTTGGCATTTCTCAACATTATTTTGTATTTTTACTTTTGACCTAATGCCGCTTTCCACAGGCATTAGAAATTAAAACACCATGAAAATAAGCATTATTTGAACAATTATAAGTCATGCCTGGCATTTTTCATGTTTTGGTTAAGTTGGTATCATATCAAAACGAAAGAATTTTTTAGTCCTAGTCCCACTCTGCCATGTCCTAGTCCTACTCTGTTGTGCGGCAGGATGCGACATGTCAGTGGCCTAGCCGTAGTGACTCGGACTTACTTTGCCTAATGAACTCGGCTGAGGTGACTCTTAAAAGCCAACCTTGTGCCAGCCCACTCTGTGAGCTTACTCTTGCAAAATCTGCAGATCGCAGAGTGCTTCAAATTGTTTGCCTTCCGGTCATGGAATTCAGTGTGGTCTTTGAAACTTAACTTTATTACTGCAGAGTGTGCTGACATGGTTGCACTCAATGCGGTGCGCACGCATAGCGCATTCGTACAATGCATTGTACCCAGGTACCGCAAGGGAGTTTGCGTTACAGTAGGCCAGCCAAATGTGGTAAAGTTCTCTAGAAAATAATTTCACGGTATGTTTTGGTAATAGCTGGCATCCATGCTAGATCAATTCTTTGAACCACAACAAACAAGATGTGGTTGGATACCATTGTTAATTTTGACCATAAATATACCTTATTTGCATAATTGATAACACCTGTCGTGTAATATATTTTCCCCAAGATTTGGGTATATTTGTTATTTTTTATTTTTTGAAAATTTTATTTTGGTGATTCTTCTTACACATCCTTACTTCAATAACATTTTCCAAAGCATATAAGTGGCTGTATAATTATGAGGACATAGTAACGATCAAAAATGGCTACTTTCATACCCAAAAGTTGCGCGCATTTACCTTGTCTCCAGATATCTTCAAGTAGTCTTGCAAAACCTCAGTATTGATGAGCTTCAAATTCATCAAGTTGCTAACTGGCACAGTAACCCAATTAAAACCTTATAGAAAATCATGTGAACAAAGATAACGTTGTGATATTTAGCCCAGCAAACAAAAACGGGGAAAACGAAGTGTTTGTTAATTGGCATAATCAGTGAAGGGTTGCCTAACATGGGCGACTTGAAAAGTTCAAGGAAATTCCCAAAATTATTGGAAAGAAAATTAATGGACAGAAAACATATTGACATTGACATAATTATTGGTGGATTTCCTTGAACTTATTCAAGTCTCCCATGTTAGGCTACCCTTTGTCTAATTTAAGCCCTGTTTACGGACAGCCAGCTTGTTTTTCCTCGTTTTTGTTTGCTGAACTTAATATCACAATGTCATCATTGTTCATAAGGTTTCAATAGGGTCTATTGTGCTAGTAAGGGCCCTGTCACACTTCTGCGTATCCTAATTCCTTATGAGTTGCGCATTGACATTTTGTTCATACACAGTCGTACGCACAATACGCACCTCATATGCATCTCTATCGTTTTGTGTAGGTTTTATGTACGCAGATATACGCATGGTACGGCCCAGTACGCAGGATAGTTTTGGGCATGCACAAAACTACGCTGCGTACGCTGTTGCGCAGGTCATAAGTTATAAATACGCAGCGCATCAGTCCCGCATCGGTCGAGTGCGTTACGAGTACGCTATGTGTTCGTGACGCACCCCATCAGCATATGAGCTGCCTGTATTGGACGTATACATAGCGTACTTGCAGCGCAGATGCAACGCACGCTGAACGGCGAGCGGCGGAAATGCGGCGGGAATACGCTCAGAAGTGCGTCGAGCATGCGGTCGGTATAAGTCGGGTGCGTCCGGAATACGCTCGACATGCACACTGCATACTGACCTATTCGCAGCCCGAAAAATACTGTTGTGCACTGCATACGCAACTCATACGCATCTCATACGCAATGTACGCTAGATGTGCGTCGCACATAAGTCAAAGTGATCAAAACATTTCGACGTTAATTGAGCGTACGGCTGCGTATTGAAAATTTTTGATAAGGAATTCATAAGGAATTAGGATACGCAAAGGTGTGACAGGGGCTTAAGCAACTTGGTGGAAGTGGAAGCTCATCAATACTGAGGTTTGGCAAGACTACTTGATGATATCTGGAGACAAGGTAAATGCATGCAACTTTAGGGTATAATGGTAGCCATTTTTGGATCATGACTGTGTCCTCATAATTATTCAGTCACTTATATACTTTAGAAAATGTTATTTCAGTAAGGATGTGTTAGTAGAATCACCAAAATAAACTTTTCAAAAATAAAGAAAATACCCAAAATTGGGAATAAATATATTACACGACAGGGATTAACAATTAATGCAAATTAGGTATATTGGGATCAAAACTTAAGGGTCGCATCCACATACATTTTCTGCTCCATCCTTTGACTGATTGATCTGACATGGTTGCTGAATTTAGGATTGACAGGCCTTTGAGTCACAGTGTTTTATTACACTATTTTATTATTACTATTATACTTGTCAATCCTGGCCAGCTTAGATTGAGTTGTTTTTGTGTAATTTTGCTTATTTTTGTGGATTGCTTGTTGTATTTTGTAATTTGGCCGAATAAATAAGAATATTAATAATTTAGAAGTAGGTTTCAAGGTCTTTGGGCGTGGAAAAACTAAAATCCACACACACAAAAATCACATGATAACATAACATGTAGTTGTTCGCATGAATGTGCAAAAAAAAATCTTGTACTCTAGATACAGGACTATGACAAATGCTAAGTTGATGGCACGTGACACAAGATAGTGTCATCATGACATCATAATCATTCAATGTACTTTGTACATAAACAAAGTTTGAAATTGCTCTAATTACAGTGCGATAACAATAATGTGATCATGATGCCACTCTGCATTTTGCAGTTTAGCAACATATTCTTTGTTATCAGCAGGTTTCATTATGATTGAACCCTTGTCTTACGTGTGTTTTTAAAAAAAATCACATTTTAATGATCTCACTATGAAATCACACATTTTTCTCAATTCTGTACAAATCTGTATGACGCACCATGGCTATAAATATGAAAATAAATTTGCATTTGTGAAAACAAAACAAGAGGGGGGAGCGGCTTTGCCGCCCATCAACCGCTTTGTGGGCAAGATATGCAGCTTGGCTGCCTGTCAATCACAAGCAGTCGAGCAACACTTGAACAACTCAGGAACACAAACAGTCTTTCCTTCCATACCTACTGTGGTCATTCTTTTGTATTCATGTAGTAAAAGAAAAACAAAGAAAAAAAATCATTTTATTTGCACTGTGAACACTCTTTCAACCGATATTTCTTTTTTATCACGATTTTCTTGAGTGTTCCTCTTTATTTTGTGATGGATAGGGGCCTAAACAAACCCAACCCCAAAAATGCCTTTAAACCTGTTTTCCAGAGAGGGGGAACCCAGAGTTGTAATGAGTCACTGATTTTTGTGACTTGAGTCGAGTCAAGTCAAATATTTAGCTTGAGTCATTCCAGTCCCGAAAATGTAAACACTACATGTATACAACAAATAAAGACAGTAGAGAAAGTCATTTGAATCACTAACAGTTAATACCGGCGTTCAAATCCAAGAGCTCAATGAGAAATTGCCCTAAGCCAATGATGAAACCACGAATTGGAAAATGTGTTTAAAGTTCGGTTCCGGGATAGTATTTTGTACATTGCAGAACCACAAGGTGGTAGTCTGTTTGTACACGACAAGCGGCCGCTGTACCCTTCTATATTCGCAAAGTGACATGAACATAAAATTTGCACCGTAACTCATTGCAAGTATTTTTCGCAAGGTGTTGCTTTTATTTTTTGGGACTCAAGTCTTAATAGCCTCCACTCAAGTCGAGTCAAGTCGAGTCTTCTGATGAGGGACTCGAGATGAGTCAAGTCGTTTGCTCGCAGTGAGTTAAGTCATTTAGTCTAAGGGACTTGAGTAGAGTTGAGTCACCAAAAGTTGTGACGAGTCATCGACTCTTGAAGGGTAAAACCCAACATTGAATTTTCATCACCCCGACGCAAATTCCATCTTATGAATAGTTTCATGGCCTACTGATCCCGCAAGCTCAGAGGTCGAGTGGTAAGATGTCTGTAATAGAAAGCAGGAGGTTGTGGGTTCGAGTCCCACCTGAGTGATTTTTTCAATCTTTCACTCGGGAGGTAACACACTGAGTATACAGTGTTTATACGTCGGAATCATTGACTCGAGTCGATGTTACAATTATGGGGAAACCTAGTGTGGACGTGTGCAAGTCCACAAAACATTCACGCTACCTGCACCTCTTTTGTTCACAGGTCAACAAAGAGTATGCAAGGTTAGAGCACCCATACATACACCTACACCTTTTCTTCTTTATTGTTTAGCAGCAATATATTTACAACTTGAAAAGACGGGAAAAGTGGGCAATGATCAAAGCGTTTTAGGTACGACTGTACTTGAAATAAAGTTCTCATATTGGGTTGTTTTCTGTCACTTATACACAGTGCTTCACCCGCTTACATTCGTAAACTTGGCATGGCATAGTATACCACCTGTCTGAGTCATGTCAGGTCCTCCAGAGACCCAGTATTCAGATTTGACTGAAGATAACTGAAGTGAAATATCTAGGCCCAAATGAAACCTTCTATGGACTAGTTGCCAGACCCTGCATGGTCAGTCATACTTCAATTTGTGGGAGAGGAATCTAATGTACTATCCAGTGTATCGTTGAAGCTGTAGGTATGCAGTGTTTAATGTGAAAAGAATCTAATAGGGTTTCTCCTTTTCACAAATAGCATTTCATCCACAGCCACTGAAGAAGTATTCTCATTTTTATTCAAGCATATTTTTTATGTTTCCAAGAAAAAAGAACCTGCAGCAATTAGGCAATTTTTGGTCTGTGATGGGGGGGACTGAGCTAAAATTGTGCAGCATGATGTGAAAGTTAAAATGTGTTTTTGTGTTAATTCAGGTCATGGCAGAGAAGCTTGTGGATCCAGTTGCAGCTGAGCAGTTGTTTCATACCTATTGTGAAGACCCACAATATCAGGATCTCTATATTAATTTGGTAAGAATATGTATGTACATGTATATAGAATGTAATTCAGATATAATGGTGCTCTCCAGTTATAAGAGGAATCCCACTTTTTGGACCATCTGTCATGCATATTGCCCCCCCCCCCCAAAAAAAAGAACAGTTCTTAAACGAACAAAATATTGTGTAAAGTTGAATAAAATTCTGATTAAGGAATCATGACATGTTACTAGAGTCAGGTTTTTCACTTGAATAACTGTAATGCTCATCTTTCTAAGAAACATTGTGGTTCACAACTTTTTGGGTCAATGTGATTGTTAAAAAATGTAATATTCAATGCTTCAGAGCCAACCCTTGTATCCATAAATTCCATAATTTAAGGAGCATTAGTGTAAACTTTTCTCTACAAAGAGTAAAACTGTAGACCTGTATTAGCAGCAACTTAATAACTTGTTTAAACAGTCATATGATGTTTTTACTTCAGGAAATTACGTTTTTCCCTTCATACTCTATAGGGCCTGAAATTTGGGCAAAACAGTACTTGACATTTGTTATGTTATTCAGGAGGATTAAATGATATTTTTAGCTGTTTCGGTGTACACACCGAAACAGCTCTTGTTTTTGTTATAATTTTTTTTTCTCTTTTTACATTTTTTTTTCTTCCACTTTTTTCCGGGTTTGGGACTTTTTTCTCATCCGATCGCCTTCAAACCTGGCACACATTGAGACCACCATCTGAAGATTCAGGCCGAATCTAGTCCGAAAATTTGGGACTCTCAATACTGTGTATGAGAGTCCCAAAACTTAAGGTATCCATATCGTGCAAATGTTTGTGCTGCATAATATAACCAGTGTGAATCAAATTTGCAAGCATCTTACTCACTACAGTTTCTTCAATAATCCCTGAAACTTTTGCCTCGCAAAGTTGCTGTTGTGAGCATTGCATCACCAAATTCAGCTTTTAATTCTAATTTTGCAGAGAGTTATCGAAATCCATACGTGAGAGATCACATTGATGTGTACTGCAATGCATTGTGCAAAAAGACTCCTCAGCTATAACATTTTCATAGTGTAGATAAAACAGCGCCCTCTTGTTGATCTGAGTGAATGCAAAATGTTTCATTTTTTAACAGAGGGCGCTATGTTCATTTGGCCATCGATTAAAAAAACAAGTAAGCTGCAAGGCTCAACCTACACCTACCCAGAATACATTGGGAATCACACACACATTTCCAGAGCATGGAGATTGATGTGGATGGTTTTTGAACTGCCAAAATCTTGCCTTAAAATTGGATTTAAGGTCTCAAATTTCGCAGGTGACATGCTTGCAACTATATCATTTTGATGTATGTGTTGTGTGGGCATTAATTAGCCAAATGGTGAGTAAAAAAACGTCAATAGTAATTTTGCACGTCTTTATGCACTCACGGTCCCAGTCTGGGCCGAATCATGACGTCATTGTGACGTCATCCGAAAAGTGCTTATTTTAAGGCCTATAGATATCTACAGAACCAGAGGTACGATCAGCTTCAAACTTGGTTTGCAGGTATTCCGGGACGTGTTATAGACAAAAATTGCAGTGACGTCACGATGACGTCATCATGTAATTTTATGGGTGTGAGTGACCACTGATAAAAATAGCTGAAAACAGCTGAAAAAGGTGTAAAAAAGCTGAACTTTGGAAATCTACTATACTTTTGTACACAGCAAGTGAGGGAAAAAAGCTGGAATCCAAACCAAAAAAAGCTGAAATCAGCTTAAAAGCAGAGATTTCACACCCCTGATATATATACAGTATATATATATATATATATAAATCAATTTTTGGACCTTTTAGTCATATCTCATCAACGGAAAGTGGTAAATTCAAAGTTCTTTTTGTAAAAGGTTTCTTAAGTCATAGATAGTTGCACACAATCTCGTGAAATGTGTGACGTCATGACGTCATTAAAAACTTGATTTTTTGATTTACATATAAGGGTATGTCCGATTGTTTTGAAACTTGGTGGGTAGGTAGGTATTGATAAAAGCATTCAAAATCTGAAGTAAGGTCATCATGACGTCATCATCTGATTTTAAATTAATTTCTTTAATTTAAATATTTTCTTCTAATTAGCAAAAATTACATAAAATATGGCCTGATCGACTTCAAACCTGGCACACACTTAGCCCCATAAATGTGGCCAATTTACTGGACAAAAACAAGTCAACATGTCAAACTTTGTCAAATTTTGATTTTCACATTTGGGCTTAGTTTGTAGTTTATTTTTACTTTAGAAGTATACTCACCCTCTTTATAGGGTAATCAGAAAGTGCTGCCTTTTTCAGATGTCTATTTTTCCTGAAATTTCCAGATTCGTTTGCGCACGTTTACGTATCAAAATTTCAACATGAAATTTCATGAAAATTAGACATCTGAAAAAAGCAGCACTTTCTGATTAGCCTATAAAGAGGGTGAGTAAGCTTCTAAAGCAAAAATAAACTACAAACTAAGCGTAAATGTGAAAATCAAAATTTGACAAAGTTTGACATGTTGACTTGTTTTTGTCCAGTAAATTGGCCACATTTATGGGGCTAAGTGTGTGCCAGGTTTGAAGTCGATCAGACCATATTTTATGTAATTTTTGCTAATTGATTTTGAATGCTTTTATCAATACCTACCTACCCACCAAGTTTCAAAACAATCGGACATACCCTTATATGTGAATCAAAAAATCAAGTTTTTGATGACGTCATGACGTCACACATTTCACGAGATTGTGTGCAACTATCTATGACTTAAGAAACCTTTTACAAAAAGAACTTTGAATTTACCACTTTCCGTTGATGAGATATGACTAAAAGGTCCAAAAATTGAATTATATATATTTATGGGGTTAGCACACACTTAGACCACCATCTGAAGATTCAGGCCGAATCATGATGTCATCATGACATCATCACATGTCACGTGTCGTCATCCTAAATTTGCATAGTTTAAGTCCCTATATCTACAGAACCAGACGTCTCATCGGGTTCAAATTCGGTATGCAGGTATTCCGCGAAGTGTTATAGACAAAAATAGCAGTGACATCACGATGACGTCATCATGTGATTTTATATCAATTGTTCAATTGTTGGACCTTTTACTCATATCTCATCCATGGAACGTGGTAAATTCGAAATTCTTTTTGCAAAAGGTTTGTTAGGTTGAAGGTGGATATAGAAAATTTCGTACAAGGTGTGACATCACCATGAAGTCATGAAAAATGGTGGTTGTTTTTTTACATCGGATCGACACTTAGACCACCATTTATAGAATACTCATGCACATATGTTCATTCAACTTAGATGAAACTCCTTTTACGGCAGTTATTGCTAAAATGGTTGAAACAGCTCAGTGTTTGTCCACAAACACATTTCTAGTTTTCCAATTGCTACCCTTTCAAAAATATGTTCCTGTCATAAATGTTTACATTGGGAATCAATTGTTAGCTATGAGAGTTTGCTAACAAATACAAATTAAATATTCATCAGCAAGCTGCGGCATTTCATTGGTCCATTCCAGCAATTCAACCTTGTGAAAGTTTTTACTATCTCCCGGCATCTTCATACGCGCAGGCGACACACAAAACCAGGAAGGTACTATCACACACTTGGGACGCTGACGTAGGCAGCCTTGGGTGGAGGGGGGGTGGCAGAAGGGGCGTTGTGAGACACACACCCCCCCCCCCCCCTTGACTGTTTCATAGCCCCCTAAAAATATGGGGACCGGTAGCTAGCTCCCATTTAAAGCCATTGATTGGATCACCTCTGGGAGCACACATCATGATTTTCAAATCGCTGTTTAGCAGCTCAGTGCATAGACTGTGATTGAACACACGATTATCAAAAAACTCAATTGACTTACCCCAAAAAAGGTATGAATATTTTAAGTCTGAATGACAATGGAGACAGGGAACTAGATTCCCCCCCCCCCCCCAGCAACCTCTCTGAATCCACACTTTGTGTGTACATTGTATTATTCAGGCAACATTGAACATAATTAAAAGAAAACTGTGATTGCATGTTTAAATTGATTTTGATGTATCAAACTTTGCATCGTTTGGAATAACTTTTTAAAATAGTTGTAGTCAGCAAACAACTGGTTTACGATGCATTGGGAAATTATTAAAAAAAGGATATATATTCAAAGCATAAATGTGGTGTCAGCGATTTGCAGTTACATAATTTCTGTTTTATCATCAGGTGCCCTATGTTAATGTATCAGCACCTGCAGTTCCACAGTACTTTTCACTCCACCGGACATACATCATTCTGCGCACCCTTGGATTACGTCATCTGACTGTTGTTGATGGTTACAACAATGTTGTAGGCATCATTACACGTAAGGACTTGATGGGTTTCCAGATGGAGGAAAAAATTGGGGCTGTGCTGGCCAACAGACTAGAAGGGATTAGGTTGCCAAGTCCCTCATCTGTGAAGTCTAATGTGGAGCTTGATGAGGTAACTAATCATGGAGGAAATGCCTCTCAATGTTGAACAGTACTCATAATTGTAAGAAAATAAATTTAGTAATTGAGACAATTTATTATATAACTAATAAGTTTGACTGAAGTATTGTTCCAAGAAAATAAATTGAATTTGTGGTAAAAGTTCAAAGAAATCAAGTTGTTTTTATAGGAATATCTTTCATATTCAGTGTTTCAAATGTATGTTGTTTTAAAATACATATCAACTGGGGCCAAGTTCGGGCAAGGACCATTAGTCGACTAGTGGTTTATTTGTGACGTACCTTACGCCTGCGCACTAATAGCAAAGTGCGAACGTCTCTAGTCGAACGCTGGTCAAAATGTCATTGCAAAACGTCTGGATCCTGGCTCCCTGCTGTGCGTTATGAACGCGCGCGGCTAAGGTTACCAGCGAAGCAACCAACCCCAGTAGGTTGGTTCCAAATAGTCGACTAGCGTAGTTAACCATCGTCGACTAGACAGAGTTCGGGCAAGCATTAGTCGACCAATGGTTAACTATAGTCCTTGCGCGAACTTGCCCCAGTTTGCACATACAATTTTTGTTGACATTTTTAATTGGCAATTTTTTCAATCATGTTGTTTAACCAGTTCACGCTGGGATTATTTTGACATTGACTGGACCCGAAGACGTGTTCAGGCTGTCATCGGCAGGGTACACACTCTGATATTTTTGGCCTCGCTCATTGCATGTTTATCAGTCATCCGTTCCAGATACTGCAAAACCTTTGTGTGTATACAACTTACAAGTCATCCGATGTGAACTGGTTAATGAAGATCGTTTTATTGTGTAGCTTAAAAAAAGTTTTGGGGGACACATACCACTCCTAAATTCTGGATGTCTGTATCTTCGCACGGCCATACACACTAGAGGTACTTGTGAGGAACAGTACTCCACAATTGAAATCTTTAGAAATAGGGATAAAAGGACAACAATGCTCCTCCCCTGGAACTTCCATCCGCTGGAACATCCGTGTCCACGCGTATGTTTAAAGTTTAGGGTACATTTTTGAAAAAAAGTGTAAAACTTCAACATGCTTTCATGGATTAGTATGAAACTTGGATGCAGTGACCCTTGGGTGGGAAGACACAATTCTTCATAGGATTACTGAGGTCAAAGGTCATGTAGGGGTCATTGGAGATCATTGTCCAAACGTTTTGTCTATAGAATTCAATGGATTTTAATGTAACTTGGATAGAGTGATCTTTGGGTGGAGGTTCATGACAAATCTTCAGAAATTTGGTCAAAGGTCATCTAGGGGTCATTTGAGGTCGTTTAAAAATGCACCAAATTTAACTCTTTTTTTTTCGACAGAAATGAATGGGTGTTCACTTATGTTATTGAGAATAAAGGTTTGGGGCTGCTAATGTGTTGTCTTCACAATGTAATGTCAAAGGTCATCCAGGATCAAATAAGGTCATAATTTGTTTCATAGAAACAAATACATGTACATTCCAGAAATCAATCATTTCTTCAACTGAAAATGAACAGCTTCTACAAGAATAAGAACAAAACATATAGGGGTTGACTGCAAAAAAAAGTGACATGTGTGATCTGCACATCACCTTTGAAAAACATGGATAGAGGTAGGGATACTTGAACTGATCAATGTTGATATTTGGTGGTCCAGGGAACATTAAATTTAATTTCTGAAACCATGTTTGCTTGTAGCACAATTTTTCTATTGCATTCACTTTGCCATGAACATTTTTCCTTCTTAAAAAGCATCTTGTAAGCAGGATGTGGATTTGAGTCTGGGCCGATAAGCTGAGGTGCAAAACCCAGCATTAAAATTTAAAAATCTACCAACGACACCTACCCTAGTTAGTGATACTAATGTCCCAATGAACTCAGCTTGGCTGAACTCCATTTCACTGGAATCTGCAGTCAGTTGGTTCCCGAATATTGACCAAATTTTTTTTTACCAAAATTGAACAAATGCCATGCCGTTGTCAGTAAATGCACTATAGAAAGTATTTGTAACAATTCGTTGAATAGTTTATGAAAATTGTGTGAACGGAGGCAAGATATGTTTCTGGTATGGTACTTGTATATTAAGCCATGTGGTTGCGAAGGGCCATTTCTAAACGCTACGCAACACTTTATTTTGAACGAAACTACATGCACACAGACATGTTCACGTTGGTGGGCAAAATCTTTGAAAATTAATTTCTCCCGTTTGGAAGACAGTATCTTCGTGCACCTTTCAGGGTTTATTTCCCTTATAATGATCCAAGTATGTGCTAAAATCGCAAGTGATATGTTCATTACTTTTCGTTGAAATTAGAAAAAATAGGCCTGGCTACGTGTATTTTTGGCTGTTTTGGCAACCTGCCGAAACAGCCTTTGTTTTCGTTAGCTTTTTTTTTCTTTTTTTTCCCCCAGTCATTTTTACCCATAGCATTTGTACACATATTTTTGTTACCGGCACTTTGGCCACTAAAATCAATCCGATTGCCTTCATACGTGGCTCACACTTAGACCTCCACTTACAGATGAGCGCTGAACATTGACGTCATCATGACGTCATCATGAGTCACGTGACGTCACAATATAGGTGCATATTTTGAAGGCCCATATCTCCAAAACGACAGGTCAGATTGGGTTAAAACTTGGTACGTACCTAAACCGGAATGTGTTATAGATGAAAATTCAAGTGACGTCATGATGACAAGTGACGTTATATTACAAGTGCATGCTTTGAAGGCCTATATCTACAGAACGACAGGTCCGATTGGGTTGAAAGTTGGTACGTACCTAGACCAGGATGTTTTATAGATGAAAAATGAAGTGGCGTCATGATGATGTCATCATGGGTCACATGACGTCACGTTGAAGATTAATAGATTTAATCTTTGAAAATCAATATAAAATCAACCGTGACAGACCTGAACATGACTTTTGCAGGAATTGATAGAATAATCCAGGGTCTTCAATTTTGATATTATGTGCAAATTCATGTGACCATTCCTTCAGGTTGAAACCGGAAGTGCCTTGTAATTAAAAGTTGGTGAAACATGTGAACTTGCTTTCAACGATGTATGCTCTGCCTAAGTTGTTATTTATAAAAGAAAATTATAGTTAGAGATGGAAATTGATGTGACGTCACCATGACGTCATCACGTGACATGTGACGTCATAACTCAAAGCCCTATCAGAATGTAATCACGTATTATATGCCACCATTTATTATAAACAGAACTACACATCCTTCCTGGATGGAACTTATACTTGAAACTTTAAATGTCACATGTCACAAAAGGTTCCGAAACAGCCCTGTGTTTGTCCACAAACATAAGTCTAGTTTAACGTAACACTGGTGTTTGCAATAGCTGTTGATCTTTTCAAACCTTACAAAAATTAAGAAGGTTCCTGTCCACTATGGTGTGCATTAAAAATTTGAGTAATAGCATCCTTCACGAGTTATTAATTAATAAATACCCTCCAATCTGTTTTTAGACTGTACCGAGACCCACGCCAAGTTACGCTGAGTGACGTAATGAATATGCTAATATACGATCGACATTGTGTTGCCGGGCCGAAATCAGTCAACCATAGCGCCCATTGCGCTATAGGATCTTTGCTGAAAAGCATGCACGTGTTGGCGACAAAAACAAATCTCGTCAAAATTTTCCTTAGAGATAGTTTAAGGTGTAACACAAGCAGTGCAACAACAGATTAAGCTGACATTCGGAATATACTTAGGTGATATAAGTGTTAAACTACTCGTGAAATAGCAACCTGAGTAGATCCCTAGTAACCAGTATTGACGTTTCGGCATCGATGATGGTGATTTTTTTTCACTGACATCAAGTTTAGAATTTCTTCTTCCGTTATAAATTAACATTTTAATCATACTGAGCATATTTTATGAGAAACAAAACGTTCAAAAGGCCATGTTTTGGGGGGTGCATGAACTTCACTGCTCAACATGTTATAGCATCTAAGTACGTAATCAGATTAACTTTGTTTTCAACAGGCCAAGCTTCGCCTTCGCAACCATATGGCTGTATTTATGGTGTGGTATATTTCTTCACATTATCACATTGTAACCCAAATGTAACAAATATGATAATTTACAATATTAAAAACATCAAAATCATGGTAAGCAAGAGAAAACCTGTACATGTTTAAGTTAGTTAATAAACAAGAAAAAAGGATATGAGTACATCGCAATTATTTTGTCTGCCTCAAATCTGTAAAAAAAAATATATACCATTTGGCTGTATTTATGGTGTGGTATATTTCTTCACATTATCACATTGTAACCCAAAGGTAACAAATATGATAATTTACAATATTAAAAACATCAAAATTATGGTAAGCAAGAGAAAACCTGTACATGTATAAGTTAGTTAATAAACAAGAAAAAAGGATATGAGTACATCGCAATTATTTTGTCTGCCTCAAATCTGTAAAAAATATATATATAAATATATTAAAAAGCTGCTCAGAGAGAATTCTTGTTCAGCAAGTTGATACAAATTTGAAACTGGATGTTTTGTTATTAACCAAGTTTTGGTGAGTAATGATGCGCATTACGCAGGTTGCGGGCGTGAGACTCCCATCTGGCAGGAGGGAGGAGATCATTAATTTACATTTTAAGTAATAGGCCATCAGCTTAGGGGTTTGGTCGGTATCAAATGAGGGGAATAATGGTTATTGTGATTTTTGGCAAGGTATGCACCCCTGTAGTTGGAAAATATGTGATTGCATTGCAGCGGTGGCAGCTTTTTGGGTGCTGTCACTTTTTTAAATTTAAAAAGCCAGAACATGCTTGTTACCACATATAATTAATTCAGTTCAAGCATATTGGCGGCCATTTTGAAAAACAACTTCTTTTTTTTTTAAGTGATAACACCCAAAAGACTGCCACCGCTTACACTACAAAGCTATCACACATTTTTCCAATTCTAGATCAAATCAAATCAAATCAATTCGACATTTATTTCACATTAACATCTTGAGTTATTCATACAGAAAAAAATATATATATGTATAAACAAAACATTCTTCACATTAAATGATGTGTATACCTTGCCAAAAATCGCTATGAATATTGCTTTTTTTCGATCATTTGATACCGGTGGCCCAATATTTGGACCGAAGCTGATAGCCTATAAAGTATAAGGCAAGCCCTTCGGCAAAACCGGAGACAACATCTCCTAAAGACCCAATCCCGTATATCTAAAAAAAAAAAAAGAAGAAGAAGAAGGCAAATTGCATAAAAAAATATTAACAACATCAGAGTTATGGAAAACAAGAGGCAGAAATGGATGAAAACTGGTAAAGTTTGGTGAAGAAACAAGAAGAAC